GCCTGGAATGTCTTCCTGCACTCCACCATATCAATCTACCCACCTCTTGCCCCAGACCTCCTCGCATACCAGGTCCAGATTTGCAAGTTTAGCAGGAAGTTTAAAGCATCAGCCTGGCTTGTGTACTACACAGCCTTTCGATATATGGCTGCTTTGCATGTCGCCATGTCATGGGGTAAAGTGAATGAGCAGCTCTATAATGATATTCTGAAGGAAGAGACCCTGCCCTACTGCGTCCATTGCCACACCTATGGTCATCGCACCTTGGGTTGTCCCACTCGATCAAAGCCTGTCCAGCCTTTTCATCCCTTCTCATCTTCCACAACCACTCCCTCACCCGACACCTTGGCGCAGCCTCCAACAATCCCCTCCCATCCCGCAACCAGCACCCCCAGCAAGCAGCCATCTGTCGCGACTTCAACTGCTGGGCCTGCCCCCGCCCCAACTGTCACTTCAAGCATATCTGCAACAAACCTGCGGTGGAAACCACCCTGGCTCTCAGTGCCCAAAAGTACCCCAATTGTAACTCCACCCATCCCATTTGCCAACCTCTCTACTAAACTCAAGCACCATCCCAACCAACAGTTTGTCACCAGCCTTCTACACGACCTCCAATGGGGCTGTCATGTTGGCTATACCAGCCCTCGCTTTGCTCGCACAACACCAAACTTAACCTCAGCCCTCGTGCATCCTGACGCCGTTTCAGCTGCCCTGGCTAAGGAGGTATCCCATGGTCACACGGCCGGGCCGTTTCAAACACCACCTATCCCAAACCTCCAATGCTCCCCTCTTGGGGTAGTGCCTTGCCTAGTCCCTGTACGGCGTCTTTTTAGGCCCTCTAGGTCAATGCATTTCGGTGACGTATCCAAGACGAACGGCCGGGAGACGCCTAGACAATCTCGGAGGGCGCATGAATGAGCGTTTTTGAAAAGTTCCCACGTTCAACTGAAATAATCTATAAATAACTTTGCGCGTGAATATCCTTCGCTTAAAGATCGGCTCTAACCTGGTTTCTGTTCTCAAAGAACAAAAATATTACTTTGAATCGGAAAGAATACTACTGTATAACGTGCAAGTAATTTCTCTTTTAGTTCATTTTCAAATGAACCATTAAAATGATATTTCTTTATTGATAAAAAGATTTGAAACAGTAGTTTGTTGACATTCTACCAAATTTAGAGACCAAATTCAACAGCCTGTCCGATTAGTTTGATAAGCTTCCAAATCAAAAATTAAATTACATAAAATATTTCGAAGTGAAATGATAACGAGAAATTTATAGGAGCAAGCGAAAATGGAGAAACGAAAGATAGCTTTTCATATCCAATAATAAATATAAACTTATTTGTTTAGCTTACCTTCCGATTCTTGATCAAATAATTTTTTTGCGAAGCTGTTTTGCTTAGCTTACAAATAGTTTTTGAGATGAAATAAAGTTCAAATTCACATCACCTTCAGCATCTCAGTTCAATCCCCTAGTGCATCTGTCCACCATCAATGTCTCCTTTACGTCGACAGGCTGTCTTACTTTACATCTGAAGGCATCCAAGATCAATCTCCTTACCGTTTAGCGTGTATTGATGGGAAAACACAAACCCCAATTTCACCTTGTTTTAAATCTCGTTTTAAGTTCACTCCCGTGTTTAATGGCCTTTGAAAGTCATCTGGAGCAAAGTGTTCGGACCACAACGAGGACGTCTTCCCCAGCACCCACATCTTCCTCCTCTCCAACACAAAGTCAACCCACTTCTTTCGCCTTTTCTTTTTAATACGACACACGTCGCCGAAAAATGGAATTTTATGCATTGATGTACTCCTATCTGGGTCCTTTACATTGCTACAACGTGCTGCGATGCACCTCTCGGGCATTTTCGACGATCTAAATAAATCTTGGCTTGACAAGAAGAGATGTGACAGGCCGAACTGATACAAGTTCCTGAAGTTATGTCACCATACGTCAAGGATCCTATCCGGCTGAGAGGAGACTAATGCGAATGGTGGGCCAAAATGGCGCAAATTTCGAAGATTTTAAAAAAATCATGTTTTGTTCGATGGCAAAATTTTTTTCGCAGAATTTCCTTTTTAAATGTGTACTTTCAGTTAAGAAAATAAATTTTTTTAGGCTATGGGCACTAAGTACCCTGGACCTAGCAAGCGGATTTAATCAAGTGGCTATGGATCCTGTACACAAGACAGCATTCATCACTCCATTTGGCCTCTATGAATATAATAGGTGCCTTTTGGAATGACAAATGCACCTGCAACATTTTCTCGGCTTATGCAAAGACTTTTTAATGAGATAATTTTCCAGATACTGCTGGTTTATCTTGTCTACTCACAACACTTAAAGAACACCTAGAGCGACAGTGCTCGTTTTTATGTCAATGCTGAAAAATACGGGTTTTATGACCCCTTGGCAAAAACCGCACAAAGCCCAAAACTAGGCAAAAAGTAGAGATCTATTGATGATGCATGCGGTATCACACAGAACTGACTTAAATGTACTGTTTATCCACTTACGGACCAAAAAAAATTCCTTTTCGGGCCCTTGTTTTTACATTACACTCCAAAGTAGACTTAATTTTGACACTCGCTATTTGAACTGTTTTAGCTCAATCCATACAATTTATTAAAATTGCACAAAACTGAACATTGATTTAAGCCAATTTATTTGTCATTGATAGAACGCACTGTTCTTATAAAAATTATGAAATAAAAAATGGGCCATGAATGTGGCAGAACTTAAAAAATATTTACAGGATCGCGGCGTTTAGGTGAGCGCATATTTAAAACCTTCGCTGGTGGAAATCGCTTCTGCAGTCGAAAGAATGGTTTTACCCCTTGACCCAAACTTTGAAAAAGACCAAACAAATGATGGAGGTACATTAATCATTTATGATATGGTAAGTCATAATCCATTTTCCCTGAAGACCGTGAACTTCAACTCTTTGCCGCCATTTGGGTTCAATATTTTTAACCATTTAATCTACTACTCCACCGATTACGATAAACAGGGACTCACCGCTTATAAATCATTTGATGACTATAGATTATTCAATGACGGTTGCTTGGAATCCTTGCTTACTACTCAGTTAAAACAAGAGGGAGTCCATGTTTATGTAGCCAAAAAGAAGCCTTTCATGAAGTTAAAGACGGACGAAGGAAAGGACTATTACGATCTCTGGTTTATTCTCTATTCGGTGCGAACCGCGGCAGTGTACTCTAAGCATGATGCAAGTGTAAAGGCGGTCGTGATGGGGGATGTAAGCATATTGCAGCTGCCATGTACGCTCTGAAGCATTTGTTAAATACCCGTGGTGAAGAAAGTGTAACGAGTGGCCCATGTGTTTGGGTTAGGAGGCCAAGAGCAAATATGCAAGCGTGTGAAGTAAAAGATCTCTTCATTGAGAAAGGCAAAAAACCTTCCCACAAAAAGAGAAAACGAAAGCAAGTTTACTCTCAAAACATTGAAACAGATCTCTGTGCCCTTGAAGACACAAATCCACCAGATGAGGAGCATCTAAGAAAGTTTACCAAACGAATGTGCCACTTGAAAAATACACCTGTTATTTTGCCCCTGTTTAAAAAACTTTATGGCACTCCAGAAGAAGACACAATCACAGAAGAACCTGGCCAATCTAACCATAATCGACTACAGACCGGTATAATGAGTGCTAAGCTCCTGGAGATTTTAAGTAATGATCCCAAAACCTCTACAGAAGAAATTGTCAAGTTATTGTCTTTTAGTGACACTGAACGAAAGCACCTAGCAATGGCAATGTGAAGAGTGGTACCTTCATAAGACAGGATTCATCACAGCCTCAAAGTGCAAAAGAGTTTTCACCCGCCAGGAAACACTTGAGCCAAAAATGCCAAAAAGTTGAGAGAAGAAATTGGTCTTGTGAAGTCATGTCCACCTCTCATCCAGGAGGAAAGAGAACCACAAAATGCCAGGGAGTAGGGGTTGTTTCACGAAGAGAGTGCTCGTAAGGCATATCAGCGTGTTGTAAGCCACACTCATCACAAGCTAAAGCTTGTCCCAAAAGGCTATGTAATCTCCCCATCCAAGCCTTTCCTTGGTGCTAGTGTGGACAGTATTCAGAAATGCCAGTGCTCTGATGGTTGCCCAGTAAGAGTGGTTGAATACAAACGCCCTTGGAAACACAGGGATCTGCACCCAAAACAAGCCTTCTTAACCCCAGAAATTGGTCGTATTCAAAATGGAAAAAAGTTTGCACTAAAATCTACTTCAAATTACTACTTTCAAGTTCAGCTTCAAATGTTTGTAAGCGGCCTCACTTTGTGCATCTTTGTTGTGTGGACCAACAAGGGAATCTTCACTGTTGAGGTAACCTATGACCCAAGCTTCATGTCTGTTGTCTGTGCTAAGCTGGAGAAGTTCTGGACAACCACGACATCCTTGCCAGGTAAGTATTTATAAAGATTTAAGCCCTAACTTATTAGTAAGTAAGTCTGGTTTGTTAATAAAATCGCCGCGCTTAGAAATAAGCGACTTGCGAAATTATTTTACAAAGATATAGATATCAAAAGACAAAAGAATTAATTCAAACTAATTACATCGTGTTCAAAATGGACTGGGCCTTACAATATTATCAGAAGATTAGATAAAAAACTAGAGTAATTTGGTAATTTCGCCAGTCATTATGGAGTTTTCTTCTAATTTACGGTTCACGCCTGACTCCGTGCTCAGAATGTTTTTTTTGTTGTTGTTTCTTTGGGGGCACTCCCTGAGCAGATTCATCACAAGAAGCATTTTGCTCTCCCCAAGATTCCAGCATTTCAGAGCAATACATAAGCAGATCTGCACAGCAGCCTTGTAGCCTCTCAGAAGCAGATGTCATGATCAGTTCACAAGATAAAAGCCCTGAGGCAGCTACTACTGGCACTTCACAAAGTCCCTTATGTATAGATTTGTCCCACTGTAGTATCCCTACCTCACCTACAGAGAGTGTGGAAATCTCTGGACTTCAAATCTACAACTGTTCAACCAAAGGCCATGATCACTGATACCATAGTTTTGTTTTTGTTCAAGTAAGAATTTCTTCACATAACTGTAAGGTATAAATAATGTACTAAAGCATCTCTTAGATGGCTTCACCTGATACTAATGGAGCATCATGCTATACAGCAATTAATCTCTTGTTTATAATTAACTGTGGAATCTTTGAGCCACACAATAATATTAATAATATGGATACCTAGTGCACATGATAATTTGTATTGTGATTTCAGGCAACTACCTCAGATACATCCCATTGCCAGTTCCTTTTTCTATACCACCTTATGTGGGGAACAAGATGTTGGACCCACCACCTCAAGGTAATGATATCGAATTCTAATAATTTCTTACGTTTTGCTCTCATTAACTTCTTTCATTACTTAATAATATTCGTTATTATCATTTCAGAATGGTTCGCCAAACATCAGCAAAGAAGTTTTTTAAGGCAGAGCTGCTGAACAGAAGAAATGTGTTCATTCCAATCAATAGAAGGTTATTATCATTACTGTATTCTATGAATAATTTCACTGCGATAAAGTGTAATACAATGGTTATTTGTTGTAACAGTGATTTGAGGTAAAACTGCATGAAATTGTATCTTACAATAATTTTATAATACATAATTTTCAGCTTGTAAATTACCTCAAATTAATTATTATAAGTAACTTAAATTTGCTATATTTTTTCCTCAGTTTACATTGGCTGCTGGCTGTCTTAACCCCATGGTATGCATTTTAGGATATTTAGAAAAGATGTATATATATATCTAATAGACGTTCCATTGTATATATAATCCCTTCACTTTTATGTTTTTTACTGGATTTTATATTACATCTTCAATTGTATCAATTAAGCTGCCATTTTTGTTCAGTTATAGGCACTTTTTGATACTGGACTCATTGACAGGGACATAAGCACAAGGCATGAAGAAATACACAATATTAACAGGTATAGCATTTATCTCCACAAAATACACTGAGCTTTACGTATAGGGGAATTAGTCAAAAATTTGCTTTGTATATAATTATTATAATGACATCTTAATTTCAAACTTTTTGGCTTTTTTAAATACTTCAAAACTTATAGTTTTTTCGATCACCTATGTGCTGCACACAGTGTAACCTCTAGTATTATAAACGGAAAAACCGACAGACCTACCTTTTCTTTACTGGCAACAGCCGATATTGGATCAGGATGCTCTTTTGTTGGACCATTAACACCAACAAAGCGTATACTGCAAATGTAACTATCCATCGTACAAACGAACGAGTCACTGCGATGACATGCAGTAATCCACCTTTGCCATCTCTTATTTTGTCTAACTGCGCCAGGAAAATGGAAAAACTTAACCGGATCACCATTCGAATTTCTTTTCCAAGACTGAGGGCATCAGGAATCGTTTCTACAAGTACCGTAAGCACATCTTTTTGTCGTAACCATTTTGTTTATAGCATTATATTAGGGTCCGAACTTTCGGGTGTTTTTTCACCAAAATATGCGACTTGTGGTTCGACCACGTACAGTACGTGGGTAAGAACGGATGTTCTATTCGATATTCGAATTTTAAAGACTATAGTTCATGGAAAAAATCGGCTATATAAACGGAAACTTGAAAGAGCTACTTGAAGTTCGTACACGTGAGTGAAACCAATGTCGGAACTTTGGCTGTTTGTTTACATCGAAAGTCACGTGATACTACACGCGAAAGCTGACGCTCAGAAGGTGAATTGCCTGCTGGAGAGAAATCACAGTTTAGAAAAGGTGATGAAAGTGGTCTCGAGTGAAGTAACTAGTCTGTGTTCCAAAGCAAATCCTTGGATTCTCAAAACAGGAAAACAGGATCCGGAAAAGTTTGACATAGAGGATGTTTGCAAGGAGAGGCGTGCGAGAGCTCCAGCTTTTCACTCCTTTCTTCTCGCGTCTGCTGTCAACAAGAACACTTAAAATTCCACAAGGTTTGGAAGCCTCGCAGTTGTAGGATCTATTCTGTTAAAACAGAGAAACTGTGAAATGAGCGCCACTGCCGCGATTGTGGGTGTTCTTTCCAAGAGTAAGGCAGTGGAGGTATGGCTTTAATTTCTTTCAATGAACTTACCTTAACTGCGATCTTGGCTAAACACAAATATTGCTTTGGAAGATATGGGTGCTTTGGATGCTAATTTCCTGTTCACCATCGATAAAATTTCCCTCTTACTTAGCGTTCATTAGTTTATTATTCCTGTCTAATACATTCTCGCAGAACTTCTCACAAATTAATTTAACTTGGGAGGCATTTTCTTTGCAGTTTATGCAGCATGTAACTCAATAAGCCTTCCAGGATTGTTGGGCTTTCTTGCAAGGTAATCTAGTCGCTTGTACAAATCGACCCACTCCACACAAACTGCCCCTGTATTGAGGTGGCTGGTACACTTGTTGACAGGTTGCCTTCTTAGTCTAAACAATCGTATTAACCAATGGCAGAAATACCAATGGAAAACTTGTTCAAAGGAGGGAAATGTATCTCTGTAATGGGCTTAAAAGACATTCACATCCCATTTTGGACCCTTGACGTCATCCCAACCAACAGATAAAGACAATAAACTGATCCATATGATCAGGTGTAATATCCACTTGTTGCAACTCGAGATAGGGTGAGAATTTAAAAGTTCTCAGCCTTGATAGCGACACATGACAATGAGCAGAGACCACTTGACGTGTCCTATGACATTCATGTTTTTTTTTTCCATCGTAGTTACAACTTCATTTACACGCACAAAGCCACGTTCTACTTATCTGCCCGAAACAAAAAGGCTTGCCTAACTTGCCTAACAGTGACGTCATTGCCAAAACTTGTCAGCAACAAAGCAAAGACTCTTAGATCAATTTAGAGCTAACTCTCCAGTAGGCATGTCTTTAGAGTTAAGACACTGCACACAATGGGTTCACCTGGCTCGTTTGGGGAAGGCAGCGATGTGGGGGTCCATTTCTGATGCTCATCTCTTCTGCAGTCACATAGAAATCACTTCTTTGCCTGTTTTTCCACCTCTTTTTCTTCGATTTCTTTCTCGTACAATCTCGAGATGCCTGCAAGTGTTAGGGATGTATCCGTGTTCCCATAGGCGTACTTTCTGTAGTTGTTTATTTCCTTATACTGCTCGTAAGCGTTTGTCAACCAAGGATAGTAAATCAAACCAACAAAAAAACTAGAGCTGAAATCAAGGAATTGAAAAAGTTGTCACACATTTTACAATGTCCTTGTTGAAGATGTGTCATTTGTCACTGCAGGGTTTATCTTACCCACACAAGCAGGTATTTCACTATGAAATTTCCATGATTTTCTGTTCCTACCAGTCATCTTATTCTCCTCGGCTACTTCTTGTAACTTTTTCTTCGCATGCACTGATCTGCTGTTATATTTTCAATTGATTTCTCATTAAAAGATGCAGCAATTTTGGTGAAAGTGTCCAAGAAATGACCTTACCATTACCCTTCCGTCCGGAATTTTCGAAATTGTAAGCTTAATGTTAAGCACCCCTTGATTTCCCACGACTTGAGCAAACTTACGTTATTGATACTTCCTAACACATGAAAACAGAAAATAAAATATGCGAAGGGACATTTACCACCAAGACTGATTCAAATGGTTCCACCTCCAGACGCTGTAAGTCTCAACTGGTAATACCTCTCTGGCTATCAAATAGCTTATGGAGAGATTAAACAAATATGGGGTGTCAATGGTTCCAGCCATGAAGTCCACAATCCAAGGGAAAAAATTGGATCGTGCTGTTCAGCTTGTAAATGAAGGGAAAAGATTTGTGCTTGTACTGGACAACATCGACTGGGAGTTTAAAGTACATGATATGCGTCCCAACAAACAGAACTAAAGTGTTCATGCCATTGCAACTAGCATCATGTTTGATTGCGTCTCAATGATAAAACATGAGGGACCTTTAAAGGTTCGTTAAAAGGAGCAAAGATGCACAAGAGAATGGCACAAGATGTCCTGAAAAGAATCTTGCTCAAGTTATTTCCTCCATTTCAGTTTCTCAGCGATTTTCCAGTGTGTACACCTTATCCCGTTATCCGACTGAAAGGAGTTCTGAGTCAACAGTTGTGCCCTTCCAGTGTTAATGAAAGATCAAAAGAAATGTGCAGAAGTTGGTGTGTTGGATCAAATACTAGAGGTGTGGGTATGTTAAAGATTTAGATAAAATCAAATCAGTTATCTCTTTTTAACATTTAGTATAAAAAAACTGCAACAGTGTTATTATTTTTGACCTGAAATTTATGGTATACATTGATAGATGCGTGAAATTTACTACACCGCTGGCATGTGTGCTTCTCGAGAGGAACAGGATGTTTCTCCTGGTCCTCCTCCTCCCGTAGCTGCCAAATCCAGGCCTGATCACCCAGGGTCACACATGCCACTTGTACCATAACCCATGATCCTTCAGCAGATATCAAAGTTACCCGCTTTGGTGATCAACTCACAAGGGTATGATTGGCAGGAGATAAACTAGAAAGGGATAACCTCTTTTATCTCCTTTTCACTTTCCGATTTGGATTTGTGAATAAACAGTTATTATTTATTTATTTATTTAAGACTTGCATGCAGGAAGTCATACTACACAGGACAATCTTGATTACCTTTACCCCTTTCGAATTGTGGATTGGCACACAGAGAATCTTTTTAAAACAGAAAAAATTAAACAGTGTGGTTAACCAAAATATTATAATAGGGAAACCAGAACATAACGTTGCACAATGAAACATTTTCATAATTTGTTTCACCAAAATATGTAACTCTGTCATCATTAGTTACCACAGCAAAACGATCCCTATTTCATGGCTTAATTTTTCTTGGGTCTTTCATTTCTTAAACTACTTCTTCTCTGCTGAGGGAGATTTGACATGCTTGCCAAATTCACTCTCATAGTACCAGACTGTGTGATCAGTTACGGCTTCTTTTGGTTATAATCAACAGAAGAATTCTAGGGCTGTTTTAGGATCATTGGTGCACGAGGCTGTAATTAACTCCCCTCTAATATAATACCTGCAACGGACTTTTTAAGTCCCTGGTGAAACAGCATTTCAAGCCCCAGTCTATCCAATCAATTATTGCTTGTCTATGTATTTTCAGTGTGCTACCTTCTGTGTATTGTATTTTTTTTTTTTCACAGGCCTGTTAAATTCGATTCATTATATGCTAAACCAGATGTATCGACTGACATTCTGATGTTCCTATTTTGCTTACATTTATAGGATATATTCAACAAGCTCTACAAAAACTCAGAACTCTAAGATTTTTTTGAGGGAAGCAACAGTGCCACAACGTTACCATTGATGTAAAACACTATGAGGATTGCAAACTGCTTCACAGCAGAGGCACTGCTGGCGTTCTTTAGCATGGAACCCAAAGGTGACTGCATAAAAAGAAACAGGCCCCCTTACTACATTTTAGAAGAAAGCGACAACAGGAAGCAATATTATGACTGTGTTAGTTGAATTTATTGATCAGTTCCTTACAAGTTCTCCAAATGATGATGGCAACGACGAACGCAGTCCTACTACCTAAGATTGTGTTAGGAATTACTCATTGTGCCTCTTGAAATATTACTTCATCTTTTTTGTATTGTAAAGACACTGTGAAGGAGGGTAATGGAACTCTTCATAAACAGCTAGTATCACATTTTAACGCATTACCAGGCTTTAATAACTATGCCATTGAGATGTTGATCAGTGTAGTGCAAAACAGTGGTTTCGTATCAGATCCTAAGGCCCACCAGTGCATCTGGGCATCCACCATAAATTGGAGAGGGGATGCTAGAAATAAGATTGAAATTGACCTGCTCCAAGAAAACAGAAATAAATCACTAGAGAAGTCAATCAAGGCAATTGGTGGAATAAAACGGACAGTGCTATTGACAGGTCTAGCCATGCTTCAGGAGAGGAAGATAAAATTGGTGAGAAGCTTGATGTTCAAATACACAGAGAAACCCATTCCTCCTCTCACAGAGGAACAGATGAAGGCATTGTTGTGGCAGAAGCCCAGTACCACTGTGCCCAACAGAATTCATGAATCTTTTCCCGATATACAGCCCAACCTTTTGGTACCCCTTGATGATACAGAACTTGACAAGTGGCTTGAACGACACAAGAAGAACTTATTATCGCACGCACCAATGGGTCATTAACATGATTAATAAGAAAACAATATCTAATGATTTTGAACTCCTCTGGGATTAATCATCACAATCACATACAGGTTCACAATAGCTGCAACATAGATGACCAATACATGCTTCACTTGAAGCATCAAGAGAGCATTGCAATAGCTCGCCAAAAATTACCGGAATATGCAAAGTTTCCCCTAAAACTGAAGCAAGAGCAACGTCAAGCAGTTGACACTTTACTTCAAGGAGGTGATTGTATCGTTGTGTTGCCGACAGGATACAAAAAAAGTCTTATCTTTCAGCGTTTTGTCTCAGCAGCTGCCATCAAACGAGATGGTAATGAAAGAGTGTTGGTTGTGTGCACATCACAGAGCATCATTGAGGATCAAATAAGAGAAGCAAGAAATTAAGGGATCACTGCTGCCTCAGTTTCTGATGTCACAGATGAATATGAGAGCTGAATTTCAGCTTATGTCCGGGTCAGCTGAAAGAGTCATCAAAAAACGATTCCTTGATGTTTTGAAAGACGATGCATCGGGACCTGCCAAGAATATAGTGGGTGTTGTGCTAGACGAATCCCATACAGTAGAAACGTGGACAGGAAAAAGTTCAAATAATCCATGTTTGCCTTTATTCGAGCATTTCAGCTTATTTGTGCAAATATCAATGGAATTGACAATTAATTGATAACAATATTTGGTCTTCTTTCTTTCATCAGATCAAATGGTGGTAAACACAGTGGTGCTGGTGCTTTTTAAGACACGTTCGGCAAGTTTTCTACGTTTACGTTGTTTCTTAAGCAACGTAAAGTAAGCTTAAATTTAATATGTCTGGGATTCAGAATTTCATGGGGTGAGAATATGCTTGCACCAAATGGTACTTTAATGTACTTTTTTTGTGATACAGGTGTCACTGTCATGAACTTTTTTTATGATGGGGAGGAATAAACAAGTAATCAAGTGCTAGTTCTGCATAAAGAAATGGTTTTGTACCATCAAAAGTGATACAACTCCCTTTGACCCTGAAGATGATTACCGCACAGGTAAGAAACCGATGTTGGAAAACAGCGCTTGAATCACTCTTTACTTTCACTCTCCCGGTTTTCAGAACTAAACAAGGTGCTTGACACAAACGAATACAACTCAGTGATGAAGGGTTTTCATTTTCCTTCCACAAGAACTACAAACTCGATCTGACTTATCCTCGGCTCACAATATTCTCTTTACGAGAATTACATCAAACGAGCCCGTCTGCTTTGAGGGCTGAAACAAGTTCTCGGTAAGTATCCACTCAGATACCAGTTTAATTGGTGTACGGCACTTTTAACAACTACTTTCACCTAATCAACTTTCAACTAATTTTCCACAAAACTGATGGAAAAAATTGTTTGCTGTACTACTCAATGTCATTTGTTCATTCATTGCAGTTGTTGTTCGTCATTTTCGTTTGCCTACTTATTCAAACCAAAACCTGGGGGAAACCAGCTTACACCGTCCAAGCCCCGGATGAATAACTAGAGCCAAGCCAAGACCTGAATGAAACCGAGGTACTCAACCAAGCAAAAAGGCAAGTGAAGTTTACCTTGGCCAACGTCTGCCCTGCTATCACTTCGACTGGATCTTCAAATTCGCCGTCAAATGGCCTTCCATGTGTGAAAAGATGGTATTTTTGCCCAAAGTACAATCTGTATGAAGCTGAATGCCACTCAAGTACATATAACGGTTGTACTCCTAGAGATCAACAACTTCTGTCTTACATTTAAGTGTAAATGTGGATTTTGTTGATGCCTGAATCATGTTCAAGAGCGCTGTTCAGAGATTTACTGTATGGTCGCTTACAACAACGAAGCAAGCAAGAAGGATTAGCTAAGACACCTGTTTGCATTACAAAACACATGGGATTCCAAGCCATTTGCTTGAATCACTGGGTTCTTCAGACGACCTGGTATCAGTACAAACAGCGGTACCACAACTCCTACAAATGCCCAGCACAAAAGCAAGACAGTCAAATAGCTTTAAGATCCTAAAGTAGCCTATTAACGAATCCAGTAGATTAAACGAATAATTAGGCCATGCTAAGTTTGAGCCTACACATTTTGGCGAGAAGAAATGTTGCCAAACCTTCACAAGGATTATGGCGACCTATGTTCTGCGAACATGCCTGTGACAGGGATCCTATTAGGCAGTAAGCTTCAAAAGTCAAAGAAGAGGACTGGAGCAAGGCCCTAAGGCAAGCTGCTGTTACCTACACGTAATTGTTGTTTACATACATGGACCTGTTTTTTTTCTCAATTTCCAAATGTACAAAACCAGATTGTATAACACACAATGATGAACGTTTGTTGATGAATTGCAAGATTTATTTTCTGTTTAACAAAATACCCTGTGAAAGAGCTTTTTTATCAAACCCTTGAAACATTATGCAGTTGATAAAGGTCAAAAAACATTAGACATAGACTGAATCCGTTGAACAATTAGCTGCCTTCTTCGGATTTAAGACACGCTTCTGCATGACTTAGTTATAGACAGTTTGCAACGATTTAGCACATGTTTAGTTACCTAAATGGTCTTAATATTCAGGGCCTTGACAATGTATGATTAAAAGTTCCTTTAGATACTGAGCTTCAACAGCTCTCACTTGGATGACATCCTTTATCTTTGTTTATCAATGTCCTACCAAACTTTTTAAACCCATTTGCTGTATGATAAAGCTCATAAAATAGTTTTTGCAGTAGAGCATGTACAGTTCAGAGGTAGAAGGGTATTGTGGGCAATCCCCACGCCACTAGCCTGCGCGCAGACGAAATTAAACTCTGGTTAACTCTGTCTGCGAAACAGCGCCGAAATTCTTGTTCTGGACTTCCAGCTGTGTACCCAGATTTGAGTACGCGCCACGATTGGCCAGTTAAAAAAGGCCTTTGTTTTGTTTGTCGTGATCGCCAATCAGGTTAAAGGGGAATTCGAAACGCACTTCCGGTAATTCGTTGAGTCCGTTGGGAGTCCAGAACAAGGATCTCTGCGCTGCTTCGCAGACGGTACTAATTAGAGTTTAGTTATCGTCTGCACGCAGGCTACCACGCCACGTGCTTCAGTAGTACTTGACCTTTTTATCTGTTGGCCTGTTCAAAGTAATTTGGAGACTAAAAGAAGTAAAAAGTCTAGAGAAGGGTTAAAAAAAGACCCAGAACAGTTAGAAGCTAACAATAAAAAAGATAGGGAACGAAAGAAGAAGCAGTATCATGAAAGAATGGGCACCTGCACAATTGCAGATGCTAAAGAAGACCTCATTAGCCAATTCAAACCTTTCGGAAGACATGTCTACAACATCCGGTGGCAGTTTAAAGAACTTAGGCACCTGAAAGATAGCCTAGAGCAATGGAGGCGATCGTCCATGAAGGGTTTTCAGAAAATTTCCAGGTTAAACATCAAATAGTGGTAATGGCTGCCCATTGGTCAAATGAAATGGCTACCCTTTTTACAGCTGTGGTCTACCATGTCATATGCAGTTTTTTCTGATGAGCTATGCCAGGACAAGGTTAATGCTTATGCATTCAACAGTGCCAATCTGGAAAAAGTGAAGGAGGTAACTTCAGTCAAGACTGTTCTTTACGGGAGTGATGCAGCAGGGTCACAGCTTAAGAATTGTTACAACCTGGCAAGTTTACTATACCACAAGGAAGACTTCAACTGCAAGGCCACATGGAACTTCTTTGAAACTGTTCATGGCAAGGGTCCAGTAGATGGAGTGGGTGGAGAAGTAAAAAGATCAGTGTGGTGGGCAATCCTGCAAGGCAACACAGTGGTCACAAATGCAGAAAACTTCTTTTAAGAAACCCAACAATTATGCTGAAAAATCAAAGTTTTATATGATCCTAGGACTGTGATCCGAAAAGAAAGAGATGGGACAGATGTCTTGCGATCCCTCAAACTCACTCTATCCAGTTTGATGCAAGGGCCAGTGATTCCACCATACCTATTGCTAAGAACTATCAGTTTTTTTCATAAAGATGTCTGCCAAGAGCATCTTTTGACAAAAGATGTGAAACACACAACAAAACATCCTGCCTCAGCAAACCCACCAATGCCTAACCAGGCAGTGATATCAGGAGAGAAAGCCTTCATCAAGTTTCAGTTTTTGCAAGGTGTTGGTCCTAACAAACTTGATTGGCCAAGAAGAGATGAGATTGATGAAGTACACATTTCTTGTATTTAGTATGGGCCAGTTCATCTGGAGGGCAATAGGCCTTTTGTTATTACCGAGCACAAGAAAGTTGAAAGTCTTTCTTCCAGTCAAAAAGCAAATGCCTACAATACAATACAATACAGAGTTAGGCAAGACTCAAATAGCAGCAGTTGTCTCTTTTCAGTTGTTACGTTTCTACCTTTGAAATGTTTGTTTTCTTCTAGTCTGACATTTAGTGAAAGCCATGTTTCAAAAGGCAGTCTACATCTTAAGAGGCTGCAACAGCATTTCTGTTTAGGTTTGTTATGTAAGACCCAAGACATTGAAACTGGAATTTGATTGCTCATGTTGTTAATTGCATTAAAATTAATTGCGCCTTAATGTCTTAATTTTGAATTTTGAATTGTTAGGGCTGATAAACTTAACGCATACATCAGAATGTAAACGTCACCAACCTAAGGGAATGTGTGGAGAACGATGACATAAGTTTGTAACCTAAAAAACGTGTAATATCTAGTAGATTAATTTATGAAATACAACACACATTAACTACACAAATTAATAATTCAAAAATTATTTAAAAATTACAACTAAAAAGAAATTGAATTAAACAGGCCAAAAATGTCTGAATCATCAGCAACTGGGATTTACCTTTAGAGGTACCGATCTTCAACTTTTGTACTCATGACTGCGATCTTTCATTACTTTTCATCTTCTGTGCTTATTAATTTGCAGTATCAAATCCCATGGGCTGCAAGTTGGACGTTATTATGTCGGCAGTCTTTATACTCTGCCAGCATGTTCTGCCATTTTTCCTTTCGTCATTAATTTGTGCATTTCTGGTGTGCCAGGTTGCTAATAAATACTTGTTAAGGATATGTCACATTGGTGCTGTCTTTGTATTAGTAGGAGTACATTATATTTTGTGCGGGAGTGTGTTATTTTGTGCACTATCTTTAAAACTTTTGATGCTTGCAATGTATGTAAATTCACTATTATTATTATTATTATTATTATTATTATTATTATTATTATTATTATCATTTTTAAACTGGGGGCGTGCGAGGCTAGAGGGAATAGTGATTTCTCTTGCTATCAAGACAAAAGAATTCTAAAGAAACACCTCAACAAAATCTTTAAGACAAGATTCCCTTAATGCCAAGTAATAATTTGATAATTTTATTACTTATAATGCACAAATTTGCATTCACGCATCTCATCAAATGCACGTAAAAACCACATGTAGAAACCACCACAGGCAATCCAGCTGAAGAGGCAGCATTTGCCCTTTACACCAAATGAAAGGGCTCACGCAAATTCATTATCTCAAGTTCCCTTAACCAAGCGCAGTCACACTAACAGTCTTACAGACAAATCTTTTCAGCATCTGGTGAATAATCACGGACCCCAGAGTCAGGCTATCTACTACCACAACTGAGCCAGCAAGTGTTCAGCGGTGATCCAATCAATTACTGTGACTTTAACCATCTTGTGGAAAGAAAAACGCTCAGTTTCCAGCACTCGCATATACTATCTCATACAGTACACTTCCAGTCCTGTACAAGAATTAATGAAGACCTCCCTACTTATGTGCCCTGATGAAGGACTGAGAGAAGCCAAGTGTGACGGCCGAAGCTTCAGATCGCCACAGCACATGTTAAAGGCTGGTAGAGGGTCCATCAATCAGAGCTGATAACGGAGACGCATTGCACCAGTTTTAAATAAAGTTGACTAGCCATGGAAACACCATCAAGAACATCGGGTACATAAACAAGTTAGACAATCTCAATAATTTGAAGAAAGTCATTCACAGACTTCCATCTTCACTGATTAACAGATCAAAGCATTGGCAAATATGTCTTACCCAAGGCCAAAGTAATTGATGGGGAACACGACAATGAAGTGCTATATCACTACCATGCCAACGTTTTGTGCTCGCACCGGGCTCACATGAGCATTGTGGGCTCTGCTGTCAAAAGGTTTTGAAACCTCATCCAGGTTTTAGGTAGTCCTCATTTTACCACATAGCAATGCTTGTGAGGAACGTTTATTAATGTAACTTGGAAGATTTTAAAGCAAGCAGCGCCTCTCAATTCATCTTTAAATCGCTGTAATTTGTGCCTGTGGAAATGTATTTAATCATTTGCAGATCTGACCTGATGAGCTTGAACAAGCGAAATGAGCATGTAACTTCCTGCAGGCACACATGCATACACATAAACTAGTAAGGATAATAGAAGGACTAGAGTGTTACAATCTAAGTGATCTGATATCATCTTATGATCATGAGAAATTTATTTTATTACAGAAATTTAATCCAAACCGTGTGAAAACTCCAGCCAATAAATTGCAAAGCACTCAGTTTGTTGCCCCTGACTTCATTTGCTCCTAGTTCTGCTCATAAAAACACCTACTCCCAACATAGAAGAGACAACATCAAGTTCCCGTTGTTCAACAGTTTTTAGTGTAGAGAATACGAAGACCCCTATATCCTCCACTCGATCGAAGACGCAACATTTGTTTGGCAGAAAACATCTGAAAGCAGCAGCTGCGATGATTATGAGAAGTCTCCAGGTTTTAAATTGTCCATATTTTCAGCTTAAAAGTTCTATAAGAAGCTCGCCTCCTTCTGTGAAAAAGAGAGATTAGAAGGCTCAATTTCAGTTAGTAGATGGAAACACCAATATGTCAAATCTGCAGACGGACTGGACACGTAGATTTTGTTTTAATCACGAATCAAAAATGTCCATGAATCATCAGCACAGGGGATTTACTGATATTCAGCTTGGAGGTAGTTATCCAGTCACCACTCCGATATATTAAATATGAATGTCCCTTTTTCTTCTTCCCTCTTTTTAGTTTTTTTTCTTTTGAAATGGTACACCTGTGCCCTATGACTACCAAACTAGGATAAATGTTCTTTCAAAGAGAACTGATTTAAGCTTAGTGAGATTTTCATATGAAATTTTAAGAAAACCACCAACTTTATGTAAGAGGAATATGGGCACTAGCAGAAAGTGCAGACCTAAGACCGATAGAGAACCTTTAGCACAAACTCAAACACTTCCTGTGTCAAACAAAGAATCCTCTTTGTGAAGGAGTCGACAGCATAACTCAACTTCTCAGCTGCGTTCCTCGCCTAAAGAAACTACACCTTATAATGTTATGGTGGTGCTCTGTTTGTGAGAGAATCCTCTCAGTGCAAGAGACAGCATCATTACTCAACATCTTGGTTGCAGTTTGTGAAGAAGTCCACAGAATATCCCAACATCTTATTTAACTAGTGTGACCATGCAAGAATTATTTTGGATTTTGGACTTTTCCAAAAAATATATGTAGCTTTTTTGTCACCTTTACTAGGACAGATCGTAGAATGAAATGCGCAATGTTGAATTATAAAGAATAAAGTCAAATTTGCAAGAAAGTTGTTTTTATTCGACATTATCATTTTGGTCCAGTGCTAAGTTGAAATCATAAGTTTTAATTGCAGACTTTCGATATTCTGGATTAAGTGGTGTTTGTTGTCAGCTAATCTGTATTCGACCACACTACACCAACTTTCTGCCGCAAGAGAATTTATAAGGGACCAAATCAAAAACCACTAATTGAGAGGTCTATTGAGCGGCCACCCTGAAAAGATGGCTGAGAAAACATGCGCTCCACAAGTTTTTAGCTTTTTTAGACTTTTTGTTGTCTTTCTATACATGGTTCTTTTCTCTAATGTTCATTTTCAGAAGATGGAAAAAGATTAATTTATGAAATACAGCACACTTCCTGTGTCAAACAAACAATCCTCTTTGTGCAGGAGTAGACAGCATAACTTAACTTCTCAGCTGTGTTCCTCGCCTAAAGAAACTGCACCTTACAATGTTATGGTGGTGCTCTGTTTGTGAGAGAATCCTTTCAGTGCAAGACACAGCATCATTACTCATTATCTTGGTTGCAGTTTGTGAAGAAGTCCACAGAATATCCCAACATCTTATTTAACTATTGTGACCACACCAGAATTATTATTTTGGACTTCTCCAAAAAATATATGTAGCATTTTTGTCACCATTACTAAGTCTGATCGTAGAATGAAATGCACAATGTTGAATTATAAAGAATAAAGAAGAAAGTCAAATTTAAAAGGAAGGTGTTTTTATTCCATACATCAAATCATTTGGTCCAGTGCTAAGTTGAAATCATAAGTTTTAATTGCAGACTTTCAATATTCTGGATTAAGTGGTGTTTGTTGTGAGCTAATCTGTATTTGACCACACTGCACCAACTTTCTGCCGCAAGAAAATTTATAAGGGACCAAATCAAAAACTACTAATTGAGAGGTCTACTGAGCGGCCAACCTAAAAAGATGGCTGAGAAAAAAAGGCGCTCCACAAGTTTTTAGCTTTTTTAGACCTTTTTTGTCTTTCTATACATGGTTCCCCTCCGCCAGCATGTTTTGCTATTTTTGCTATTTTTGCTTTCCTCATTAATTTATGCATTTCTGGTGTGCCATATGACAAGAACTGTTGACATGTGATGCACAAGTGCTAATAAATACTTGTTCAGGATTTGTCATATTGGTGCTGTCTTTGCATTAGCATGAGTAGATTGTATTTTGTGTGGGGGTGTGTGTTACTTTGTGCATTATCTTTAAAACTTTT